GAATGAAATTTTAATACAATTGAATGCATATTCCCAAATATATGTGGCAATAATATTGGATGCATATACAATTTAAAAGAAATATAAAGTAGAATTTATATTTAAAAGGACTAAAAAGTTAATAATAATAATATATGAATAAAATAAAAAAACATAATATCTTTTTGCAAAAACAAAAAAATATACTATTTTCAAATGACTTGACTTCTATCAAATTCATACCTTTCTTGTTCAGTTCAATGTATGAATCAATACTGTTATTGGTCTAATTTACTTTAATCCCATGAGTAAAGTTCTCTCCTTAACTCCAAAAAAAAAAAAAAATCATCCATTAATAGTCTAAAAAAATAATGTATAAATTTTAAATAGATAAAGTTATAAAATTCTTTTAAAAGAATAATATCATATGTTTTATAAAAAAAAATCATAAAAAAGAATAATAATCCTTATTAATTTCATACAACGATATATAAATTTTGGACAGAGAAAAAAAGGCACAAGAAAATAAAAACATAATATTATTTTTAGTTACAATATGAAACATGTAACAAAAAAAAAATATTTGGAACTCACCATATTAGTAAAAAGAAATTGTAGAGATGAAGAGGAGAAGATGATATCTTGGTATAGAGGAAATGATTAACGATTAGAGATGAGAAAGAAGATGGAAGGGCGTAGAGAAAAATCATGGAAAAAAAAGGTTATCAAAGATCATGGGAGGTACGCATTTATATATTTAAATATTGACTCTTCATTTTCATCATTTAGGAGTTTTTGATTATTTAACATTTGGTTTTTTATATTAATATAATGTTGTCTCATCTACCACTTTTTATTCATCAATTATTTTTATCATTTACAAATTTCAATTATTTGCCTATCTATTACTTTTATTATCCTTTACAATTTTCATTTATTTTTATCATTTATTTATAATTTATAATTTTCATATATTTTGCAGATTTGTTTCAACATTTTAAATTAATATAAATTATATTTTAAATAAATGCGTACCTCATTTAATGAAATTGGGTATAGATTTTGTAAATGAATATTTTGCATACCTTATAATATTCATCTAAATTGTCTTTCGTTGAGAAATTACTTGGCCATGATCTTGCCTCTTCATCTACCAATTAATTTTTTCAGTTATGTATATTATATATTATTATCTTTTCAATATTAATAATTAATAATTATCGTACTATAACATTCATCTAAATCATCTTCCGTTGAGAAATTAATTGGCTATGGTCTTGCTTCTTCATCTACCAAATGATTAATTTTTTCAGTTGCTTATATTATGTATATAAATTTAATTATTTTTATTTTTATATATAAATGCATACCCTATTTACTACATAGGGTAGCATTTTATATAGAGAGATATAGATTTAGATCTTAATTAATCCATAAGTAGCATTATATATATAAATAGATAAATAGATGGATAAATAGATATAGTGTCACGCCCCAGAACCCAAATCCGAGGCGCGACAGACGCCGTGCACTCGTGAGATGAGTCCCACAAGTGCACAAGGCTCAGAATTTATTCAATTCACATCTGACCATCCAATAACTCAAATCAATTATCTCAAAATAATTCTATGTCCAACATGAGAACCTCAAAATCTCCAGATCAAATCTCTTATAAACTAACAATCCACTAAATGAATTTACACGATCTCCAATTACAATCTAGCTTGCAATATCATGATCATTATCTCAAATCTATATCGATTACAATTGACTAGCCTTCTAACTCATCACTCCCCTTGGTTTTTCCCGTCCTCGGTTTCGCTTCCTGAAATGGTGGACAAGGAAAACTATGAGATAACTCAGTAAGTAAATATGGATAGTCCTTGGGTAAAACTTCAAGCATGCCAGATAAATAGTTTAACATAACAGAACTTTCAATGACAAAATCAGATCCAGTTCAATTGCACAGCATTCAATGACAATCGTCAATGCAAAATCAGATTCAGTTCAATAACAAAACATTTCATGACCAACCATGTAAACATAACAAAACCTTTAATGATAAACCATTCCTGCATAATAAAACTCGTCAGTAGTCTCATCTATAAGTCATGGCCAGTGTTTAACAAACTCCCACTGGCAGGCATCAGTAATGGTACCAATGTTTAACACACTCCCACTGGCAAGCGTCAGTAATAGTACCAGTGTTTAACACACTCTCACTAGCAGGCATCAGGAAGTACCAATGTTTAACCCCATTGGCAAGGTTACAGAAGTACCAGTGTTTAACAAACTCCCACTGGCAGGCGTCAGGAATAGTACCAGTGTTTAACACACTCCCACTGGCAGGCGTCAGGAAGTACCAATGTTTAACCCCATTGGCAAGGTTACAGAAGTACCAGTGTTTAACACACTCCCACTGGCAGGCGTCAGGAATAGTACCAGTGTTTAACACACTCCCACTGGCAGGCGTCAGGAAGTACCAATGTTTAACCCTATTGGCAAGGTTACAGAAGTACCAGTGTTTAACACACTCCCACTGGCAGGCGTCAGTAATCATGACTATATCCGAGACAAAACCATGCGAAATTTACAGAAAAACCCAAAATTCACAATCAATCTCAAATCTCAGACATAAACCGGAAAATTTCCATGTGACCATGGATTTACAGAAAACTCAACATTTACAAACTCTCAGTTCATCAAAACAGTCCAGTCAATTCCAAATAGGCATACTCAACTCAATGCAACAAAAACAATTTCATTCCAATCATGCTCAATTCCAGAAAGCAATGAAATCCCCATAAAATCATCACAATTTCCATTTCAGTTTAAATCACTCGGATACTGAGAAAATCAATTTAAACCTTGCCACCATCTCAAAAACAATTGAAAACATGCTTTCAAATTGAAAGGCTTTACCATAATTTACTTACCTCACTCGCACAAAACAGAAGGCTAACCCAAGTGCTACGGTGACAGAACGATCAACACCTAATCACAATATTCCACAATTAATAACCATACCACCACAAATTCAAGGTAAAATCATCTTTTAACACTACCCCTAATCACGGTGCTATTTCTATCAATCTCCACATAACGGAACATCTCCAAATTCATTCTTATATCACAAACTAAACCTTTAAATCCCCGTTAATCATTAACCCTCGGTGTGTGAACAGTGCCTATGAACAGCACCCCGTGAACAGTACCCGTGAACAGTGCTCACGCCGTGAACAGTACTGCCACTTCCAAAAATTAGCAAAACCATAGCTAATCTCACGGGATTTCTCAAATAGACTAATTTTCTACTTAAGCCACACTTAAAAACATAGCTTAAAGCTACCAAAATTCATTCCACCTTCCAGCACAATTTCACCTAAATTTCTTCCATTTTCGGACAACAAAAAGGGCAACTCGAGCAGAAAATCCAACCAACACAAGGCAACAATTACATGGATAAATTGGACCTGGAAGAGCCGGCCACTTACCAGAATTTTCCGGCAAGCAAAAGCCGGTTCCGGCGAACATGGAAGCTGACGGGTTCGAAGAAGAAGCTCACAGCCTACCTCAATCCAAAAACCAAAACACAATTCAAGGTAAACCCAAGCCAAATTAAAGTTGAAAAGATGAATTCAAGGCTGCTTCTTACCAGAAAAAGCCGAAGGATTCAAACCCAGCAGAACCCGACGGACAAAGGGGGAAGAAGCAGAGCAGATCCGGGATTTCTGGGTCGAGAGAGAGAATTCTAAGCCCCAAAATCAGTTCTTGAACAAGAAGGAAAGAAGAAATTTCAAGTCTTCTATCGGTTTTCAAAGGAGGAAGAAGTCGGCGGCTTAGGGGGGGGCTGGTTGGGGAGGCAGAGCATCGGGGAGAAGAAAGAAGAGCAAATGCGCGGATAAGGAAGAAGAAAGAAAGAAAAAGAAAAAGAAAAAGAAAAAGCAATTCATCCTTATCCTAATTTTCTTTCTTTTTAGTCCCCCAAATTTTTAAAATTTTACGATTAAGCTCCAAAACATTATTTTTTCTCAAATAAGTCCCCAATTTAATGCTAAAATACCCCAAAATTTTGGGATATTACATATAGATAGATAAATGTGCTTAGGGTCTAAAATCTATTTGTTTAGTATTAGTTACTCATTTGTAGTTCTTGATATCATTGTTGGACGTGGAATAATACTATAACAGCTTCAGTTCTTCATTTCTATTACACTCCATCAATAATTATATATAATAATTATATAATAATTATTATAAATGCATACCCTATCTAATAAAAATAGATCATATTAGATTATCTTCAGTTACCATGGTAAATACTCATTTATAGTTTTTCATTTTATGATTGGATGTGAAATAATATTATAATAATTATAACTATCATATTATTAATTTTTTATTAATTTCTTTACATTAAGTTACTAAAATTATTACAATAATAGTTATAACTCATAATTTTGTTGTAGAAGATGAACACAAAACCCAATATAAATAATAGTTTCATTCAAAACGGTATAATTTCAAAGGAAAAAAATGAATCGTCTATTAATAATTATATAATAAATAATAAATAAATATTATTATATTATTATATATGTCACGCCCCAAAACCCAAATCCGAAGACGTGGCAGACGCCGTGCATTCGTGAACAGGACCCACAAATGCACAAGGCTCGGAACTTATCCAATTCACATTTGACAATCCAATAACTCAAATCGAATATTTCAAAATTAATTCTATGTCCATCATGACTTAAAACTCAAAATCTCAAGGTCAAATCTCTTGTAAACTAACAATCCATTAAATGAATGTATAAAATCTCTGATTAAACTTTAATTTACAAGATCATGATCTATATCTCAAATCTATATCAATTACAATTGGCTAGCCTTCTAACTCGTCACTCCCCTCGTTTTTCCCCATCCTTGACCTCGCTTCCTGAAATGGTGAACAAGGAAAACTATGAGATAACTCAGTAAGTAAATATGAATAGCCCTTGGTTAAAACTTTTAGCATGCCTGATAAACAGTTTAAACATAACAGAACTTTCAATAATAAACCATTCATGCATAATAAAACTCATCAGTAGTCTCATCTATAAATCATGGCCAGTGTTTAACAAACTCCCACTGGCAGGCGTCAGTAATGGTACCAGTGTTTAACAAACTCCCACTGGCAGGCGTTAGTAATAACCAATGTTTAACCCCATTGGCAAGGTTTCAGAAATACCAGTGTTTACAAACTCCCACTAGCAGGCGTCAGTAATTGTACCAGTGTTTACAAACTCTCACTGGCAGGCGTCAGTAATAGTACCAGTGTTTAACAACTCCCACTGGCAGGCGTCAGTAATGACCAATGTTTAACCCCATTGGCAGCGTGAACCGGTTCTACAGAAATACATGTCGACATGTGCTAGCGTTTACACTAGCGGGCGTCAGTAATCATGACTATATCCGAGACAAAACCATGTAGAATTTACAGAAAAACCCGAAATTCACAATCAATCTCCAATTTCAGAAATAACCGAAAAATTTCCATGTGAGCATGGATTTAACAAAAAACTCAGAATTTGCAAACTCTCAGTTCATCAAAACAGTTCAGTCAATTTCCAAATAGGCATGCTCTACTCAATGCAATGAAAACAATTTCATTCCAATCATGCTCAATTCTAGAAAACAATGAAATTCCCATTTTCATTCCAATCATGCTCAATTTCAGAAAAACAATGAAATTCTCATAAAAACCATCACAATTTACATTTCAGTTTAATCACACTCATATGCTGATAAAATCAATTTAAAGCTTGCCACCATCTCAAAAACAGTTTAAAACATGCTTTAAAATCAAAGGGTTTTACCATAATTTACTTACCTTACTCGCACAGAACAGAAGGCTAACCCAAGTGCTACGGTGACAGAACGATCAAAACCTAATCACAATATTCCACAATTAATACCGCACTCCCACAAATTCAAAGTAAAATCATCATTAGCACTACCCCTAATCACGGTGCTATTTCTATCAGTCTCCACATAACCGAACATCTCCAAATTTATTCTTATATCACAACTAATCATTTAAATCCTCGTTAATCGTTGACCCTCGGTGTGTGAACAGTGCCTATGAACTGTCACGCCCCAGAACCCAAATCCGGGGATGCGGCAGACGCCGTGCACTCGTGAGATGGGTCCCACAAATGCACAAGGCTCGGAACTTATCCAATTCACGTCTGATACCACCAAAATCTGCAGATAAAATCTTTTAAAATTTACTCTGATATCATAAAATCTCCAAATACACTCTGGATTACCGATCACGATTTATTTCTAAAATCTATATCAACTTCGAAATGGCTAACCTTCTAACTCGTCACTCCCCTTGGTTTCCCCGTCCTCAGTTTCGCTTCCTGAAATGGTGGACAAGGAAAACTATGAGATAAAATATCTCAGTAAGTAAATATGGATAGCCCTTCGGTAAAACTTTTAAGCATGCCAGATAAACAGTTTAACCTAACAAAACGTTCAATGATAAACCATTAATGCAGAATCAGATTCAGTTCAGTTGCAAAACATGCAATAACAAACCGTCAATGCAAAATTAGATTCAGTTCAGTAACAAATCGTTTCCTGACAAACCGTTAATGCAGAAGAAAACTCAGTTCAGTAGTCTCATCTATAAGTCATGGCCAATGTTATAACAACCCAGTGGCAAGCGACAGAAATTTGCCAATGTATTCGCCTAGTGGCAGGCGTCGGAATTTGCCAATGTACTCGCCCAGTGGCAGGCGTCAGAATGTGCCAATGTATTCGCCCAGTGGCAGGCGTCATATCAATAAACATGTCGACATGTGCTAGCGTTACACCCACTAGCGGGGATCAGAAGTGCTAGCGTTACACCCACTAGCGGGGATCGGAAGTGCTACACACCCACTAGCGGGGATCGGAAGTGCTACACACCCACTAGCGGGGATCGGAAATCATGACTATATCAGAGACAAAACCATGTAGGATTACAGAAATCCGTAATTCACAATCAAAATCCGTAATTCACAATCGAAATCCGAAATTCACAATCGAAATCCCAAATTCACAATCGAAATCGCAAATTCACAATCGAAATCCCAAATTTCAGAAATAACCAGAAATTTCCATGTGGGCATGGATTTAACGGAAAATCATAATTTACAAAAATTCTTAAATCATCAGAGCAGTTCAGTAAGTTCCAAATAGGCATGCTCTACTTCAGAAAAACAATGAAATCCTCATTAAAATCATCAAAATTCTCTTTTCAATTTAATCACACTCAGATGCAGATAAAATCAATTTAAAATCAATTTAAACCTTGTCACCATCTCAAAAACAATTGAAAACATGCTTTAAAATCAACGGGCTTTACCATGATTTACTTACCTCACTCGCACAGAACAGAAGGCTAACCCAAGTGCTACGGTGACAGAACGATCAAAACCTGATCACAATATTCCACAATTAATAACCATACCACCACAAATTCAAAGTAAAATCATCTTTAACACTACCCCTAATAACGGTGCTATTTCTATCAATCTCCACATAACCGGATATCTCCAAATTTAATCATATATCACAAACTAATCATTTAAATCCCCGTTAATCGTTAACCCTCGGTGTGTGAACAGTACCTATGAACAGTACCCGTGAACAGTAACTTCAACTTCCAAAATTGCAAAACCATAGCTAATCTCACGAGATTTTCACAATTAACCTCACAACAACCAAATTAAGCTAGTTTCTACATGAATTAAACAAAACTCATGCTTAGAGGCTGCCGAACTTCCTCCCCTCTTTCAACAGAATTTCGGACAGCAATTGGGCAATTCAAAAGCAGAAACCCAATCAACACAAGGCAACAATTACATGGATAAATTGGACTTGGAAGAGCCGGCAACTTACCAGAATTCCAGCAAGCAAACCGGAGCTGGCAGGGAGAAGAAGCCGGTAGCATCTGCAGGGGAAACTCACGGCTACCTCAAAATTGGAAGGGAATAAAGCAATTAAAGTAAACCCAACCTAAATCAAGGTTAAAGAGAGGGATTCATGGCTAAATCTTACCAGAAAAAGCCCAAGAATCGCACCCAACAGAAACGGCTCGCGGACAGGGGAAGAAGACCAGAGCAGATTCGGGATTTTCTGGGTTCAAAAACAAGAGAAGAAGGAGAAAATCCCCAAGCTTTGCCGGATTTCCGGCCGGAAATGGGTGGCGGTGACGAAGGGGGGGGGCTCGTCGGGTGCAGAGGATCGGGAGAGGAAGGAAGGAGAAGCAGAAGCAGAAACACGCGGCTGGTGAGGAAGAAAAGAAAGGAAAAAGAAAAAGAAAAAGCAATTCATCCTTATCCTAATTTCCTTTCTTTTTAGTCCCTCAACTTTTAAAAATTTTATGATTAAACTCCAAAACAATATTTTTCCTCAAATAAGTCCCCAATTTAATGCTAAAATACCCCAAAATTTTGGGATATTACATGAATAGTACCCGTGAACAGTGCTCACGCCGTGAACAGTACTGCCACTTCCAAAAATTAGCAAAACCATAGCTAATCTCACGGGATTTTTCACACAAAATATAATAGTAGTCAATTAACACTCAATCACATAAATCCCACTTGAATTAAGCTAAATCATGGTCCTAAAGCTACCGGAATTCCTCCCATTTTTCCAACAAAATTCGGAGAACATAGGCAGCAATCAATCAACTAGTTTTCAAGAATTAAAGAAGCCAACCTACCAGAAATTTTCAGCAAGCAAGGCTGGAGCTGGCGGGTTTGGGGTGGAGGCCGGCGGCAGTGCAGGGAGAATTTCTGCAAGGAACTCACGAGATTAACCCAAAATTAAAGGAACCCAACTTAAATCAAAGCTAAAAGGGAGATTCATGGCTGATTTTTACCAAGAAAAACCGAGACTCACACCCACAAGCAAAAGCAGCCGACGGACAGAGGAGGAAGAGCAAGGCAGATCCGGGATTTCCAGCAAGGGGGAGAATTTCTGGGTTCAAGAACAAGAGAAGAAGGAGAAAATCCCCAAGCTTTGCCGGATTTTCGGCCGGAAATGGGTGGCGGTGACGAGGGGTGCTCGTCGGGTGCAGAGGATCGGGAGAGGAAGGAAGGAGAAGCTGAAGCAGAAACACGCGGCTGGTGAAGAAGAAAAGAAAGAAAAAAAGAAAAAGAAAAAGCAGTGCATCCTTATCCTAATTTTCTTTCTTTTTAAGTCCCTCAACTTTTAAAAAATTTACTATTAAACCCCAAAATAATATTTTTCCTCAAATAAGTCCCTTACTTAATGCTAAAATATCACCAAATTTTGGAGTATTACAATATATTATATTATTTA